CCCCGGGCAGGTGGGCCGCGCAGGCCGCCTTCCTTGGAGAAACCTCCCGCAGAGCAGCGCGCCGCCGTCTTGCTCTTAAGGAATAATAGATCTGTGCGTATGGGGAGAGAGGGTAATTTGCTACAGCGCTCTGCAGGTCGTACAGTTAAACAATGACATCGTTTTTCCACTTCGTCTGGCGAGATTCTGCTCCCGCAGCCCATCCCTCCATCCCTGGGCTAGCTAACAGGTTCACGGGCAGCCGGGACAAGCCGGACACCTTCTCCCCTCCCAACGAAGGGACTGGCCACCGGCCTCTAAACATTCCCCGTCCAGACGGAGCTCATTTCCCTGCAGCCGAGGTGGGCTTTTCCCCCCTCTTAAATAACGAGGGTGGTCCCAGCATACTCTATACCGAGACAGCTTTTCATCAGTTGCTCATCAGCATGCTAATTGCTGTATGACTAATTATGCCCTGAATTCCAGTTGATTTTCTTAATGAGACAGCTGGGTTAATTATGTAATCGTATGATTACATTAGCCTAGAGTGCCCTGGCGAAAAGTAACGCAGGCAGGAGCGTGATGTCATTGCAGGAGCGGCGCGCACAAGGGGGGGCATTCATTGCTGCCTAATGACAGGGGAGGGCAGCGGTACCCACAGTGCTCTCTGTGTAAACACTTAGATTGAATTATTAAGATCCCTGTCTTTTTTCCAGCTCGCAGAATGACAGAGGAATGGGGTTTTTAAATTTTTTTTTTATTTTAAGCAAAACTCACTTTGGACGCTCAGCCGGTCATCGATTGTCCTGTCTCCGGGGCTGGGGGCGGGTTTGGTCTGGGCAGCGCGGGGTGGCGGGCGGTGAGGTCCTTCCTCGAGCTGGTCACGTAATGCCCTGTTGCAGCGAGATCCATCTTTGCGTTTCTTTTAAAATCGTTCCTAAAATACGTAGTTTACATGCATAAGCAGCAGCAGCAGCAAAAAAAAAGGGTTTTTTTGCACTGCTGTTCCAAAAAAGACTTCTCGCATGTATGTGGTGTGAGAACAGTCGGAGAGGTGTTACTGCGCTGCGTTGCACCGGCTTGTCCGATGTGAAGTATTAACTGCTCTAAGAATTACGTTACGTTTGCAACGTGAATTTTTTTTTTCATGTCTGTGCTCACTGAGACATGTCCATCCACCTCCTCCGTGGGGACAGAAGCTCTCTGCAAGGGGCCCGGTGTGGCGTGTCACAGCAGCAGGGACGTGCTCGGAGAGCTGCTCGTGAGACGGCACCAAAAGGCAGTTCGGTGGGAAGCCAAGGCAGGGACGGGCTTCGCAGAGACTGGTTTTAACATACAGATGTTACTGTGTCTCCTGTGGTAGCGCGGAGGCAGCTTTATCAGGGATCGGATCCAGATGTGCTGGGCTGTGTACAAACGCGTGGTGCAGAGGGCTTCTCTGGGGGGGTGGGATGCAACAAGTGGATTAGAAGAGCGGGACAGAATAGGAAGCGAGAGAAAAAATACACCAAGTTTAGTATAAAAATAGATAACTTCATTTACTCTTGGGCAATAACGATCTCGTGGGATACTTTTTCAAGTTCTGGATGATCAGATTCCTTTTCCCAGTTTTCTCGTTTCTTGTGCCTACTAGGGGTTCTGAACTTCTGCAGCCTAGAGGGGATTCAAACAAAGACAATAATTTGTGATGAGTTTTCCACATTTCAGTGTTAGCTGAGATGATTTTTCTCCTTTACAGGCTACAGAAAGGGCATTTCCTTCTTTGCCTCTCTCCATGGCTAGTGCCGCTTGCTTTTTTCTGAAGTGTGTGTGCCTGTTGTTTGTGTAATGAATCGAAAGTTTTGGTCCACTGCCTGTTTAAAAATTCAGTGACCTCCTGTTAAATGACATGAAACATACTTTGTAAGTCTGGTTAATATAAAAAGGTATGCTTTTTCATGCATGCATATGCTGGGAAAAGGAGAGTATTTTTATTTATTTTTAAATCCAGTCAGGTAAGAAACAACTCATTCTGACTGTAAGGTTTATACTTGCTTCAGATCAATTGGTTATAAATATTCCACAATTCATGGGTGTGGTTTTTGGGTTTGTTTTGTTTTGTTTTTTGAGATTAAAGAGCGTGTTGTGGCTTGCCACGAGAAATGAAGTATTTGTCTCTGCCCAAAATGTCTTGGTGATTTTATTGTCACGCAATGATTAGTTTTCTTTAACACAGTTTATAAAAATGAAGTCTAAGAGGTGCTTCAGCCATGGGTTCTTTACATGTCCTTAAGCAGTATTTAGTGGCTGCAGGCCATTAGTCCTTCAAATAGGCTGTGATAAAGTTTGAAGTTTAATGCACAGAGACTGTTTTTACATTTTGTTTGTTCTGCCACTGTTTTGCTACTTGAACATTAACCTTTAATAGAGCTAAATTAAATATACATGTCCTGATGAATAATTATGAGATTGCAAGCATTTTCATTTTGTACGTAAAGCTTCTCAGGGATTGCAAATTTGACTAAAGGTTTAGTCATTATTCACTTTAAAATGCCCATGGTATTTTTGTCTTTTAATTCTTTACCGATTTAAATATAAAAAGCCCTGTGTATCTGCAGCAGAATACCTCTTGAGGGTGTCCTGGCTTTTTACAATGGGCATGTTAAAACGAGGGGGGAAAGGTACACCCACAATTCTGTAAAGTTCCATTTCTGTCATTGTGGCGGTTTAGCACTATTTTATAGCAATACCATAGCTGAAGCTTAAGGTCCCTGCCTGGTGTGTTGTGCGGTCCCTGTTAGAATTTAAGATGCGGGTAGATTGAGACACTCCAGCTTTTCTTACGTTCAGCAGAGGAATGTCCTGTCTAGCTCTTTGGGAGAAATGCTGAGCTGCAGAAGCGTGACCAAAGGGTCATTGCAGAGGAGGGTCGGCAGACCCGCACGGGAGCAGGGCGATGTCGTGACAGCCCGTACCCTAATTGGACTATACATAAATATTGCAGGGCCTTTAACTCGTGCTACTGCTGTGACTTAAACTTTATATTTAATTCCTTACCTGTACCCCCTGTCTCTGCCACAATAACATTTTAAGTTTGATTTATTATAAATATTTTAATACAGATAATAATAACGAAAAGTATTTGGCCTAAAAAGCATAAATGAAAAAGCTGTGTAGTCATAAACTATGTATGTACAGAGAACAGATGACAAGCAACCTAGATTTTGTATTATGAACAGGGTAATGCCATAAGCTGTTGAAGAACCGAAGTAACAAAATGCAGCAGGCTGCTACTTAGAATGTCTCTGCGCTCAACATAAGCCAGTACTGCTCTTCTGTAAACTATGAAACAACGCTGGCATATTGAAAAAACACACAGGCTCATGCTTAATGTGTTAACAGAGGTACAATAGACTTATTATGTGTTTCCAGAGACTGAGGGTGGTCTGAAAAATTAATGACTGGGGTGGTTGAAAATTAAGTGAACTCCCTAATATATACTGTTGTTGATCCACGGGGTTTGGTGTTTAGCATTCCTCACCAGGAGACTAAATCTTAGCAGCCATTTCACAAGAGATGCTGGCGCCCGTAACAGAAATATATTCAATAATCTTTTATAACTCCAGCATTTTCCTATTCTGCCTGGGAAGAAGTCCCAGAGAGAGCCACACGTGCGCACGTCAGGTGTGTGCTAAGGGCTCTCCTCAGCAGACGGGACCAGCGTCAGAGAGTTGACACCGCGAGGACATTGGGAACGATTTCTAATTTCTGTTTGATTAGTAGTGAAAGAAGAAGAGAGACCAAGAGTCACAAAACCCAAGGACCATGGAGTCCATTACACCAGCACAATATTTCTGGTTATTATTGATCTGTCAATTAGAAAAGCTGTAGCTCGTATCTCCATGATCAAATAACCCTTTTTAGCTCAGCTGCGCGGGCAGGCACGGTTTGCTTCAGAAGTTCACTCCTGCAGAAGCAGAGGTACGTGAGGCACACCAGCGACCAGCGAGCCCTGCAGCTGGATTGCTCGTTACCCAACAATCCTCATTATGCCAACAAAAATTTGAAACTTGGGACACTCACGCGCCTTCGTATCATGGCTGCCCCGAGGGATGCTGCCCTGTGGATTTGCACCGGGATGAAGGAGGCATGCCTCACTCTAAAGGGAGACGTAGATACAAGGAGCTATCTCTGTTTTTTTGAGGTTTGCAGGGTATGAGATGAGGAATGTGCAGGAATAATAGCTCAAAGTAGGACCTTACTGGCACTTAAAACAGACATCAATAGAGAAAACGGACCCTTGCGCTCTGAACTGCTGGAGTCGCAGAAGCGTTCACATTACCTTACGTTTTATTTTACTGTTTCTTTTTCAGATCCGGTTCCAGCCTTGGATTTAGGACAGCAGCTCCAGCTGAAGGTTCAACGTATGCACGATATTGAAACAGAGAACCAGAAACTTAGGGAAACTCTAGAGGAATACAATAAAGAATTTGCCGAGGTGAAAAATCAGGGTAGGTTGCAAACGTCTTCTTCTGTGGGCTTTTAATGCATAGTGAAATTTGAAGTCAGGGATTAAATTCTGAAAATTTAATTTAATTCAAAATTAAATTTTGTTTCTTATGGGTAGGGTCGATGGTAGCATTGACATTCAGTCAGGAAAGTGTAACAGTCTATTACAGCCACTTCTGTCTTGATGCGTATAGGTATGGCTTTGGGTAGACTTTGGATTTCTTTAGAAGTTTGCTTTTCTGTAGCACCAGGTCAGAGAAGGAGCTGTTATTCTGCATATCGGGTTGTAGCCTTCAGCGCCACCTGAAAATCACACCCCTGACTGGAGTTCTATGTAGACATTTTATGAGAGACGGTGCAACTACTGGCATCGAGCTGAATGTGGGTGTGGGCACTGTAGTACCTACATTTTACGCAGACAACACAAAAATCCAGTATTTTATATTCACATACAAATCTGTACAAAATGAAACTTCTTCTGCGCTGTTTTCCCTTATTAAGATCTGAAATGTGTTACTGGAGTACGTTCCATGTACATTCCTTATATTTACTCTAGAGACTATCCGTAGAGCACTGTAAATACAAGCTAATACTGTTTAATTATTTAAGTAAGTTTTAATGAGACCAGAGTATATGAGAATACATGAAAATCAGTGAGAGTTAAAGACTGTTGTCCTTAAGACTGTTCAGGTTTTCTTGTGATTGAGTTTCCTGCAGCAGGTCACACTTTGTTACGTCTCCTTTCCAGCAGAAGGAGCGGATAAAGTTTTTCCCGTAGGGGGTGTGACCGTTGGAGAGGGCAGGTATCCGGATGTCAGGGTGCAGGCTGGACTGGCAGAGATGCCATGTGGGAGCTGTAGTGCTCTACACCCAACAGTACTTTTGCTGGAGATGGACAATAATTGCAGCTCGCGGCGCTGTTTTCCTGAGGCTGGGCATCCTGTACATCCATGCATGACATAGGGGTTCATCCCAGAAAAGGAGAAAGATCTTGACTTCCAGAGTTTTTGCTGCAACCACTCATAAACTGGCATTTTTTATTTTCCCCGGTGTGTGCTACCTTCGTTTCGGTTTGGCTGCTGTAGTCTTTGCGCTGTTTCTTACCGCAGTGCAGTGGTTTCCCACTCTGTTTCGAAGAGGGATTAATAAGATATCCAGGGAAAAGCCTGTTGTTAGCTAAGGGTGCTTTGATCAGTTAATCTCTTTGTTTGGAGGGCTGTGCGTAAGCCATACGGTGCCTGTAAGAACTTCTTCCAAAACTGGAGTAAATGGCAGCAGCTGACAAGCTTCAGCTGACCTGAACAGTGAAGAAGGCACTTAGTTCTTCAGGCAGTGTAGGGGATTAAACTGCGCTTGTCCAACACATCTGTTGTTAGGTGCCCAAAGGTAAAACCAGACTTTCTTACAGAAATCATCGGGCGTTTTCCCAGATTTCTGCGTGTTTTCATCTTTGTAGTTTTGTTTCCTTTTAAAATGAAACATTCGGACTTGGTCAAGGTGCAACTCGGTGTATTTCCATGGCATTATTTCACTCTCTGCTTCTCCGTGTACCTGAATGCTTTTGCATATTTCTGTCTGAGAATACCTGGAGCAAAGGTGTCTCCGGTACAAGGAGTATATCCTTTGGCCATGTGAAGGAGCATCCTTCTCTCGGCGTGAAGGAGCATCCTTCGCTCTTTCAGGAGAAGATCAGAATTTGTGTTACTTCCCGGATCTCAGAGAAGAATTTCCCTTTGCTTAAAAAGAAAAAAAAATAGAAAGACGTGTCCTTTTCACGGCCTGTTATACTGAGTAATGAGCCTCGTCTGATTTCTGCACGGCTAGCAAAATCCCGCTCCCTCCTTCAAACGGAGCTGGTTTGCTGGCAATCATTTTTACCACTCTTCCTCCCCTTTTTTGTGGTCACAGTGGCCCAAGCTGCCTTCGGTGCAATTCCCAGACAGCGGACCCTGTCACCAGCTATCTGCTGTCTGGCTTTACAGTTCTCTAGTCAAGTCTCAAAGTCTGGGCTTTGAAGGGATTATGCATGGTTTTGGTGATGATACTGGGATTTTTTTTTTTCCCTTCCCAAGTCTGTCGGCTTTACTTTTCGTAGTAGTGTTTGTCTTTCTGCGATGCTTCTGCAGAATGAGAAAATTCTTACAAGCAGAGATGTTTTTTCCTAAAGCATCGTTAACAGCATCTGTTAATGGGCTGATGTCTTCAAACCGCCGTACCTCGGTGCAAGTACACTGAAATGTATTGCTCGCCGCGAGACTTCTGGCAGGCCAACGCTTTTTCCAAATTCCATTATTGTTACAAAGCACACTCTGGTGAATGTCCTGCTTTTCCTCTCGTGAGCCCTATAAGGATTCAGTCCTTCCCGGTGGGTGGGATCAAAGGGCTTGCATGTAGGAACAGATCAGGGCACGGAACATGGTGCTGTCCATCACGGCTGCGCTGCGGCTCTGCAGGTTTATGCATCTTCTCTCATCCATTCCCAGGCACACGAGAGCTTCTTTATCTGAGAAGGGTTTCTGCAAACTCCCTGGAAGGCTACAAGGGCACTCAGAAAGTTATAATAGTTAACGCTTGTGCGTAAAACACAGTGTCGATGGCAAGGCAGTTGGAGCAACTGGAATAGGAAGGGCTCCAGAGTGTCTGTTGAGTCTGATCTACTGTTGATACAGCAGTTAAATCCTAACTGCCGTATTTTTCATCAGTTGTGAAGCAGAACGTAGCTGTATCCCAGATATGTGTTCAATTAGTGTTAGATTGCATCTGTGCATGGACCGTAGTAAAACGGCCTCTTCTTACATGAACACAGTTATGTGAATTAACTGTCCTGTGTGTAAATGCATACTTAAACCTACACTGGGACGTTATTAATATCCACTCAGCAGCGAGCTAATTTGAGACTAGTCAATAAGGTGATATTATATTTTACAATTGATTTTTTTTTTCCTCTTCTTCTTTTGTTTTTTTTTAAAGCCATGTTAGAGGAACCTCCTTCACTCTGCTTTCCAGCAAACTCCATTGATCCTTCTCAACCTAAACACTTAAAGTTCAATTTAACATTTAGGGAGTAAAAGGTCTCCAAAGGGACTCATATCCATTGATTTTGTGTCAGGGTTGAAGAGCTAAAGTTTAAAACACACTGAGCCTACAGGG